TGCTTGGAAGCATTTCACATCAGCCAGCATGGTGGCTTAGCCAATTAGTCCTCTAATATGGTCAATTTTGAGAGTAAGTACCTTTGGGGTACAAAGGGTGGGATACATCTTGCATAATTTGAACTGGCACTTGCATCACTTAAATGCTAGCAGAAGGCTTGCAGCATGCAGGGAGTTAAAGCAACCTAGAAGCCTGAAGTGGAAATATCTAGCAGAACAAACTGTTCCATCACATTTCCAGGGAAATGACTTTAAAAAAAAAATACTTTCTTAATTGTAATGAAGCCAATTATGATGGGCTCAAAAACAGGCTGATAGAAGCGATCCTGTTTCATTATGATTATAATGTTACTATTTCTAGGAAGACTGATCAATCTTTAATGAGCTGTTAGTAAACTTAACCATCACTTTACACAGGAGGTATCTCCTCACTGCGCCCTAGCAAAGCTGGCCCACTGAAGGGACAGTGGGATTGCATCCCCAGACCTCTAACTCCTTGAACAGGTGAGGAGTGCAGGGTCTTTTCCCAGCTGGGAGAAGGCAACACAGAACGACCCCTTTATTGACTTCAGACGACTTTATGAAAAAAGGAGTTTCATCCTAATCATCTGGATGCGAAGGGGCTTGGCAAGGATTTTTGGAAGAGGAGATGGAAGGTGAATGGATCAGTATGTCTTTCCCATATGTTAGACTGCGCTGGTGGAGAAGTGCGAGCGCTGCAGGTGTGACCACAAAGTCCCTTTGCCACATCAGCCGGTGCTCATGGGAGAAAGGATCCCATGGGTCTTTAGTGGGACTGCTGCAGGGAAAGATGCTGAGAAACCCTCTTATTTTATGCAGCGCGGCACCACAAACTCATAAAATGCTCAAAAATCCAGTATAGTATGCAACAGCTGTACTGCGTAATTACTTGGCCCAATAGCAGTAGTATTAAAATACTGGTATATCTGTTGCAGGCCACCATACATTATCATCTCATTTGCAATAAAAAGTCAGGATGTTTCGAGTGAGCTTCAATGGAATTAGAATCATGTGTGCTTTGAAATATTTATGCTTGCCTTGAGATGGAAGGAGAATTCCTGCCGCCAGCCCCTCCCCACCCAAATAACAGATTTAATAACACCAGATAGTCCAACTCCTCCATACCTACAGTAGGTAGAAGTGAAGCTCCGAGCTGGAGTACACTTATTTTCATAGGTGGTAGGACTTATATTTTATGTCATTTAGTGAGGTCAGTAATAAAATATAAATGTCACAAGCTGAAAGACGCCGAGAGAAATACGGTTTGGCAGTGTGGAGCTGCTTAGGGATACATAAATAATAAGTCAATAAGTAAATAAATAATAGACAAAGATCTGTTTTATCTTCCATTTGAAGATCTCAAGGAATTTACAGTCACCGATTGAGACTTGTAATTGCCCATCAGAAGCATATAAGTAGCTACAGCCCCTTCCTGTATGCAGAAAAATTCACATCACTCTAGTCATGGCTTGAAGATGGAGTGACTTCAGAATTTTTGTCAAGCATTTCTGTGAATTGTGACTAAAATGACCTTTAGGAGGACTAGAGGAAATAACAACGAATCAATTGATTTGATTAAAAATGTTTGTGAGGATCTGTGTGTTCGGAAACACGGTTGTGTTATGGCCCTCGGCACCTGCTGGAAAGGCTGGCTTTGTACACCACAGTGAGTGCCCACAACCACCCATCAGAGTAGTTCATAGAATCACAAGGTTGGAAACGACCTATAAGATCATCTAGTTGTCTATATATGAGCTGCAGTTCTTGGCCTTTGGCATTCAATTCCCTCTCTCTAGTTAAAGGCAGACACACTTCCATTGTTGATCCATTCAATGGCAGTAGATTCTTCCTCTTAACAAGCAGCCCTTCCTACTGCTGCTTGAGAAATTGGGTATTTTCCAGTCAGAGGCTGCAAAACCAAACCTTTTGGAGTTCCTTATTCCATCATGTCTTAAATCAATCCATCTATGCTGAGAAAAGGAACCCAAATCTGGCCCAGACAGAGGACTGGTGCCTGTTTGGTCCCTGTTTGATCCCAATCTTTTCTAGGACCAGCAGGAAGCTCCTCGAGGCTGCAGAGCTGGCCAAAATTCGAGAGAGGAGCCACTTTCTCCTTCTTGCAGGACTTTACTGTTGTGAATTATTGCCAGTCACTTTTGCATTCCTTTTGCTTCTCTCTGTCTTCAGGAAGACCACTGACAAATGGTTTCCACTTTGTTTTCTACACTGACATGCTGCAGAGGTCAAAGGCAGCTAAGACCTACTACTTCCATGTCTATGAACATTTTCACTTTCAAAATTATCATTTGCAGAACCAAACCTTGGAAAAATTAAATACGGCGTGGTCTCAAAATTTCTTGTTCCCTGGGTACCATTTTTCACTCCTTCTTGTTGGACTGAAGCAGCATTTCTTTCTCCTTTTCACTCAGCAGATGAAAGGGAACATATTTGTTCTCAGATGTGTACACAGGGCAGTTATGCAATAGTTTCATATGGCATGGGCAGACTAGATGCTAAGATGATTCTTTTCTTTTAATAAATATTGAAAAACATCACAAGGTATTTGTTACTTAATTAGATGTTTTCCATGCAAACCTTCACTTCTCACATTTATCTACATCCTTCATCTTTCCTTTGGCATAGAAGAAAGGGAGGAGATATGAATGGAGATAAAAGGGAAGAGAAAAAAATTGTTTTACACCAAACAGACAGAAATGTATGCTAACAAAAATTCTGTTGTAGTCATCAAAATGCTTCCCACCAGCTTCTGCTGAACAAATACTCAAGGCAAAATATTTTGACAAGCTCTGAAATGAATGTTGCTGCCGGGAGGTGACGATGCATTCATACCTGTGAAACGAGTATGACTTAAGTGCCATTATAGCAGCTACACCTGGGGGTGAATGTCAGGGAGTTCAGTGGCCTTGGGCGGAATTGTGGACCTGCAGGGAGTGCTGGCTGAAGGCAGAGGTCTGAACTGATGAGTGGAATGGTTCTTTTGGTTCCATTCCTTCTGCTTGGTTCTCGCTGTGTCTGGGACAGCAAGCTTGGATGGCAGACATTTACTAAGGTGAATTTCACATTGCTTTTAGTCTTAAGAGCATACTCAAGAGAAGCTTTGGGTCTTAAAATCTCCTCTTTTAGGAGCTTTGAGGATTTGGATTATTTTTCCAAAGGCTTGTTGGATATGCTATAATAAAACAGGGGAAAAAAGCCTGTTAGTTTTGAAGTGAGTAAGAAATAGCTCACCGTGTTTGTAAAACATGCAAACAAGAAGAGAGAGCAACTCACAGCAGTGCAGACAGATTGAGCAGGCTGGGCACTCAGATGTTGGCCTTGGCCGTGGGGTAGCTGTGAGCATTCCCCAGCTTTGTGTCCATCCCATGTCAGCACACAGACACGAGTGCAGCTCTTTTTCATGGGTGTTGAGGCAACCATTCTTGTTGGGTAAAAAGGTGGGATTAGCAGTGCTGCCCATCCAACCCTTAATGAAAGCTTATAGGGTAAAGCAGTAGGATTCCTTGCTGCTGTCTCTGAGGATGTGTTTTATACACATCTTCAGGCTCTGATTTTACTAATGGCTTAGCAAGCTAAGAACAAAATTATAGTAAAGTGTCATGTTATCAAAGTGGTGATGATCAAGACTAAGAAGCAGATTTCAGTTTTTACTCATGTGAAGCTTTTTCATGACATTTGTCATGCAGTGGTGTTTGCTTGTCTGTATTTGATTGGTTAACTTTCCTGCATCTCTGCAATTGTTCCAAAAGTGCCAAAGGCTTTTGTTGTCCCCTTGTGTATTTAACTTAGTAGAAAGCCAACACGCAAGTTTCTGTAGGACATTGCCTGCCTTGCTCAGCCTTTATCTAACGGGGTATGCGTGGTGAACAAGTGCAGTAAATGCACGTTGACAGCCCTGAAGGACTACCAGGACAGCACGAAGGGAGCACAGGGATACAGTGATCACTGCAGGGTGAGAAATAAACTGTGATTTACGGAGGAGCTTGTGCTCAGCCCATCAGCTGGCCATTGTAAAGAGAGTGAATTCCCATTTTATAGGGGAAAGGGAAAATCACAGTGCTGTGAACAGCAGCGTCGCTGCCTCGTGGTGATGGTGAGCAGTGGCAAGCACTGTTGACTAACAAGGGTGCAGCCCAGTCTGTCTCAAAGGACGAGGGTGCCACATGAGGTAGGAGAGCATAAGTCTGCCTTCAGCTGCACTTGTAGCTCTGCTGGAATCGGCCGAGGTAAAATCTGTCATTGGCAATGGGCTCGCGTGCATTACACTCTGTACCTTCACTCCAGCACGTTTTTCAGCTCTCTTTTTCATGGCCGGCTCGTTGGCCTATAAATTCACCAAATTAAACCTCATCCATGAGTGCAGGCTGGAGGCTTGTGGAAGATTTGAGCCTAACATTATTCAGGAGTAATGTAAATGTAATTTTCAAAATGATCTTGCCACTTTGTGCATGTTCATTAGATGAAAACAGATTACTTAAAATAAATGTTCCTAAACCGAGATGGAAAAAAAAGCAACAAGAAGTGTTAGAGCATCTTTAAATTACCAACCATTTACGGTACAATACCAAATGGATTCCTATGTGCAAATCCAAGTTACATGAAATGCCAATTAAATCAACCCTAATTTCCCAAATACATTTTTTATTGCCTGATTGATTGGGGCTGCTCTTAAAGTGATGAACAGTTTTCACATTCACAAAGGGCTGCTGATTTCTTTCTCCACGTCCACTAAAAACCCAGCAAATCCTTTAGAACATCTGGCTGCGTTTGCTCCCAGGGTCTGGATGGAGTGAGCGTAGGACACAATGTGGTCTGATATATTAATTGTGAAGATCAGATGTGTAAGCAGTACGGTACCATTTTGAAAAAGGCTTAAAAAAAAAAAAGACTACGGTAGATTTGAATTGTTTTCTTTTCCAAAGGCAAAACTCTCTATAACTTCTTTGTTTTCTTTCCTATAGCAAGTCCACATGCAACACCATCGACTCTTCATTTTCCAACATCACCCATTATCCAACAGCCTGGGCCATACTTCTCACACCCAGCAATCCGCTATCATCCTCAGGAGACTCTGAAAGAGTTTGTCCAACTTGTCTGCCCCGACGCTGGTCAGCAGGCTGGACAGGTGGGGTTCCTAAATGTAAGGAAGCCGTTTTTATTTCTTCAGAAGTGTTTGTCCTATGTAAAATGAATCGTGGGCTAACGGGATGATTTTAACAGCATGTTGCTCACAGGAGCACACCTGGAGTTATCGTTGGGAGGAAAAACAAATGCTGCCGTGGCAAAAAATATTGTAAAAAGATAAAATAAAATAAAAAGCAGAGCAGCAAAACCCTCTCGACCGCATTGTGGTGAATTCAACTTGAAGTGTCGGGGGAGGCAGCGACACAGTGACCTTCTGGTCCCCCCACAAATGGCTGTGCTGCATGCACTGTAACCCCAGTGGAACGAGGGTTAACAAAATATAAAGGCAGAATAATTTTTATTAATTATTTCTGAAGTTCAGGGGAGAGCGAGCTGGGGGAAGGAGCAGGAAAAGGGAGGGTGAGAAACAGATGTTTCAGATCAGCTAAGTTCATTAAAAAAAAAAAAAAATACTGCCTTATAGCACTTTAGATCAAGTTGACCAGTACTTGAACTCAAGATGTTAAAAGTACAGTTTATTATGGTTTGTTATTTCTGTAAGCAGTTATCTTTTCCCCTTATCTCTATGAAAAATTAAGCAGAGTTCCAAAGCTTCAAGTAACCATTTTCATTTTTTTAATCAAATAAAGTGAATCATCTTTCTATTATTGAAATAGCATTCCGGTCAAGTACAGAATTTATAAATTTTATGTAAATCATACCTAAAATAATGCTCTGAATATTTCATGAAGTGTAATGCCTGCAACTTTTTCCAGCCAATGAAGTAATAACTGACAAAATGACTGTTTCTTTCTTACGTACATAGGATTGAAAGCGTTAATGAGAATTAGTTTAATTGTTAGCATCTAATTTATTACACTTATTTAATAAGCTATATTATCCTCGGTGCTTTCCTTTCCCTAGCAGAAAAACCGACTCTACTTATTCCAGCCAGGACTGGCTTTGAATAATGTCTGCAATATGTTAGCAGATACATTTATGTCTAGACAACAAATCAATACAGTGCTTTTCTTTTTCCTTGAGTATTCATTTGCTTAATTTATCCCAAACCATTCAGCATTATGAACTGTTAGCACACTCACGATGGACATACAGCAGGGGTCTTCCTGGCAAAATAAGGGGACCTAATTGTGAGACAAGATAGTGTTTGAGAGATGTCACTAATATATTAGTTTATTAATGGTGCTGGATGTTGGAAAAATAAATATCCCTGAAGGATTGCTTCTTAGTGCAAACACTGGGAACTGCAGTCTTTGAAGTCAGTAGGAGTGCTGCTAAGTAAAATGCGGATGAATTGGAGTTTTATTTATGCCCTAAACCATTTTTGCTCTAGCACGGGTGTGATTTGCACCTACGCAACTTTAAGGCTTTTTGTCAGTGCCAAAGCAGGTGAAACGAAAATGAAGTCCCAAGTGTTTGCCAGGATGAGTGTTTTGTCCCCAGTAATTCAGGCTAATGGAAACCCTAACAGGAATTAAAATATTATTTTATTTAGCAGTACTTAGAATATGGATCTGTTTAAAGCCGAGCTTTTATCATCGACGGAAAAGCAAATGCTCAGAGCCAGAAGAACTGCACTGAGATCAATTTGCAGAGTGCCGTCGAAAGTGATCTCATTTTTGTCACTAAAATGGAACACCTGATTCACGGGCTGTCCTACTTTCTCTTTATGACGGCATTTGGCATCTCTCTGCATATGGTTTTCAAGTGTCCAGGCTGTATTAAAACGTAAATGCCACAACGTGGAAGGGGGAAGGGTGGCATTGTTTTTCCAAGGCCTCTTCTTGATTTTGTGATGCTTGAGAGAGCATTCACGTACGGACAGGTTTTTCAGATGATTAATTGAAAGCCAGCACTCACACGGCTGGGCCCGTTCCGCCTGGGACTGACCACATCGCAGCCTGAATACACAGAGGGATTTTTCCTAATGTGCAGAATGAGGCAGTTCTAAGTTCAGCTGTTTCTCCCTGGAATCGTAACGGCTACTAACCTGCGAGCTGCACCACCGCTAACTCAGAAGGGATGTGGGAGTGCAGTTACTCCAGTGCACACACATTCATTTTTCCTGTAATAAGATATCAGCGTGACTTTTAAGACCACCAGAAATGCTTATTTTTCCTTTTAATGAGCAATATCTTTAAGAAATTTACACTCGAGTCCTAGGCACTGATATCCTAAGGGTGTAGCAGAGGCACAGATATGGGACATGCAAGGGGTTGAAAATACTGCCAAAACGCTTGCTAAGCATGAGTGAGGGGCTGCAGGAAAGGTAAAGAGTGGTAGGATTTAATCCAGAGCACTTCAGACCCACTGCTACTAGGATACGTGTTTAACAGTGAGAATTTCCGTAGTTTCGCAGGGTTCACAGGGCTTGAAACAATGTTCCTTGAAATCAATGGAGAATTAGAAACAGCTCTCTTTGCCACCTCTTTTCTAAAGTAATTGTAAATATAGTGCACATAGTTTGAAACTGGACTGTTATTATTGGAGGTTCCAAATAGCTGGTTTTTAGTATAATTTCTGTCTGTTTGCTTGTTTTTCGGCAGCCCAATGGTAGCAGCCAAGGCAAGGTGCACAATCCATTCCTTCCTACCCCAATGTTGCCACCACCACCTCCGCCACCAATGGCTAGGCCTGTGCCTCTGCCAGTGCCAGACACAAAACCTCCAACTACATCAACAGAAGGAGGGGCCACCTCTCCCACTTCTCCAAGTAAGTATAGACGCAGCGGGAAGCAAGGGCTGACAGCAGCACACAGCATGCTGCCGTCGTCCTCTATCTCCTGGTCAGAGATGAGGACTGGACTAGCTCGGAGGTCATAGTGCAGCTCTCTGCTCTCTGTATGAGTGACCAAACTCTTAGCTTGTTTTTTATCAGTGAGAAGAGAGTTAGCTGAAGGTCGTGGTTTTGTCTCTGATTTTGTTGGCATTTCACATAACTACCTGCAAGAGAAATCAAAGCCTGTAGCAAAGTTAGGTCACGAAGCTGGGACCTTATAGATACGAGGAGGCAGTTTGGTATCTCGAGAACAGACTTTAGAGCTTAGATACTACGCAGAAATCAGACAGCCTCACAGAAAGCATTAATGCTTACACATACTGTCTAAACTAACAACTCTTTTGAGTTCTGTTCATTTATAGTTCTTTTGGGAATAAGTCTTCTTAGACTAACCCAGACGTCTTTCCCGTACGACGTGGTTCCCGAGCCCTGCGTTTTGGGCAAGCTATGGTATTTCTTAGGCCCAGGGAGAAAGCTTTCATCCTCTCTCCACCACCCACACGGCTCCCATATGTATTTTGTGTAGCCACAAGTCAAATATACAAATTCCTGGATACACACTTGAGGATACCACTTTGGACTCACTCTGCTGGGAAACAAATGCAATTCAGCTGGGCTTGATGTTTTAAAAAAGTCTGGATGTGCAGGGAGTTAATTGTGAAATGATTTAATGAAGCTATGCTCAAACTGACATTTAAAAACAAAAGGGAAGCTTTCAATGCTTTAATGGCAACTGTAGGGGACTTGTTCCACAGTGAAGGGTGTCCAAATAACATCCACAAACAAAAATCAATCTAATCGAAAGAGCAAATCCCTTTGTGTGCTTTTCAGGCTTATTATTTAAATGCTATATGCAACTGCTGCTCGATGCAAAAAGAGGGATTCACTATTCAGAACGTGTGAAGCTGAAACTTTCAAACCTTTCTATCCTGTTCAGGAGATTTGCTCAGGTTCCGTGGGGCGTTTTATAAACCCAGTCGTTCTTAGAGCTTTGCATTGCCTTCTGCTCTGCAAAAGTACGCAACCGCAAACTGAGCAAGATGCCCCAGCTTGCTCAGAAAATCAAATGGGTTTTAGTATGAGACAGTCTGGTAAGATTGCGAATGTGATCTTCTAGAATCAGGACTTCTAGAACTGATCAGCAAATTTGCGTTGAAACAAGCAATTGATTCATTCCCTCCCCTCCACTCCTCTTTCTGACCTTAGACCAACACTTGTGCTATCAGGAAGTTTTGATGCTTTCTGACGGGAGATACCATCTTTTAAGGCCTGTCACTAAGATGCAGCAGCAGAATCTGAAAGGTTAATGTTTAGTCATGTTATCACTTCATAGAGTCAGCAATGCCTTACTATTTCCTGGTCTTCAGAACTGGGAAAAACGAAAGTAGGTCAATGTATATTTGTCATCACAGTTGTGACTCAGTTTACTGGCAGTGTGTGGTGTCTAAAAGGAAAAAAAAATCCCAACATCATTTCGGCAGTAACCTTAATACCGATTTTTTTGTGATACTGTGATCATGTAAACAAGCTAAAGGCCTGTTGGCCTGATTCTCAGCTGGCATAAAAATTGGCATTGGTCCACTGAAGTTAGCAGAACACCGCCATTGGTGTCGGCTCAGGCTGGTCACTGTGGCTCAGTGTTCAGCAGACAGCTGCCGCATTAATTGGGAATGGAGGTTTTCTCAAGAGTGGCTAGTTAATGGTATTTAAACAAAGGATTAGGAAAATAATTACTGTTTGTTAATTAGCTACGCTGATATCTAAACATATAGCTCTGTACATAGTCAGGCATGCATCTTCCTTCTGGTAAGAAACAAGGGTTTTGGATAATAGTGAATTGAGTTGTAAAGAAGCATATAATTTAATTTAGGGACAAGTTTTACAGAAAAGTAGACTGTAGGAAATGCTTTTTAAGGAAAAAAACCCCATTGCATACATACTAAAGCCAGTGGAAGTGGCTGGCTACATAAAGAGAAGGACAATGCGAAGTGCCTAGCCTTTCAGTAAGGGCCCACTGGACATCATTCAGTGTGTCAATCAGTACCAACTCTCCATTTATGCTGGTGTTTATTTTTTCTTAACTAAATATTAGCCTACAAACAGCAAGTGCAGATTCACCAGAGTTTCATAAAAGCTGCACAAAAAGGTGTTTTCCATGGTGACGGGCTGCTCGAGCGCACCGGTTCGGGAGTGTCTGTGGGTTATGGCTGACTGCCCTGCAGAGCTCTAGGATATTGGAAAGTCACTTATGCAACAAAGAGAGGAGTGATGTTAGATTTTGGCCAGACTCTCTCCTTAGCTGTGTGGAGGAGAATGAAGCACCCCCCGCCACCACCACCCAAGGAAATGGAGTGAAAAGGGTTGGCATTTGCTCCATTCTCCTTCCCTTTTTTGGTCTAGCAAAAAAAGCCCTCTGCAGAAACAAAATACAGTTATGGCCCTACCAAAAATTGGAATATGGCCCTCCTGAGGGGTGCAGGAGCCAGGAGCAGCTGTTCAATACAGCATGGCCTCCCGGGAATGAGAGCTAAAAATCACAACAAGGTGGTTAATGATTCTCGGAGCAACAGTGAAACTCTCCAGCTGTAACATTAACCGAAACACGAACATTAGCACTGTCCGAGGAAGGAAGAGCCCCTGGAGATGCACACTGGGGATTTGCCGCTACTGGGTGGCCAGGCGTGCTCTGGGAGTTGAGCACTTCAGCTGCACATCCCGTCCCTTTGGAAAGCCAGCATTTTCCTCAGCGAGATGACACAACGGAGATGGGTTTCACGAGGTTTAGGAGGATTCGTTTGTCCTCCATAAAAAACCATCCCAATAGAACACATCCTTAATATCAGACACAGCCCCAGAATTACAATCTTATTTCAGATCTGATCTTTTGTTGGTATCCCGTAACAAACACAAAACAATATTTTCTCAAGCCAGACAATTTTCTGGGCTTGATATCTCATTGCCCAAAGAAAGCACCACTTACTACATGCCAGTTGGGCTCTATTGCTATCATAAGTGAATCTGTGCATTAGAATCTGTGGCCCTCATTCCCATTTGGAGTCTTAAGATATTGCCATCCTGTGCACCATCATCGCTAAGAGCATTTTTTTAACTAAATGTCATTTTCTGAGGTTCACAATTCTGCATGCGGAAAAACTTTGCTATTTTCCCTTGTTGGGCAAGATTGTTATCAGATAATGTCCCTTAGCACAAAGGAGTTTTCGTGTTAAACAGCATTTGTGTCAGGATGAGAAGAATGATCTGGTGGCTGTAGTACTGGATTCATAATCAGATTGGATTTCTCTCCCCTTCTCTGCTGTGCATTGACTGAGCCCCCCCTGGGCAAGCCGTTTCAGCTTTCTGTCCGCTCTTTTCCCCATCCATAAAAAAGAGGGTGATGACTGTATCACTTAATTTGTTAGCATGTGCAGTTCCCTCTAAGATACTCAGCTGCAGAGTGCATTGTGGTAGGAATTGCTGTATTGCACCGTGTTCCTCCAGTTAATTCTCTCACTACAACTCCACAACTGCAAAACTGGCTCCCGGTCCTCTGTAAAGAGTACAGCTTTTTCTATCACCTGTTGACTTGGTCTGTGAAAGACAGACATAGTGGTTCATTAGATTATTGCTCATCCAGATTATCAACCAAAAGTTTTTCTTTTCAATCCAGAATTGATAAACAAAATACATTTATACTTCATAGAAATGATTTCAGGAAAGTATATTTTGAATTAGCATTCAGCTACTGCCGACAATTTCAAAATACATGACATTCCCAAAACTGTTTGTTTGTCTTGTCTTTCATACAATTTCTTGCCATTTTGGCTAAATATCAAAGCTGTCTGTGTGAGCAAATGTTCTTTCCCTGCCAGCTCCTGTTTTCCTTGTTCCTGAAGTGAAGCATCATAGCAAATTTGTGGCATCACATTCATTTCCTTGGCTCTGGGCTATGATGTTGCAAACAACCCTCAGTGAATTCTAGTAGCAGGAAGACTAGGTTGGGCAGGAAGATGTTCCTACTCAAGCCCAGCGGGCTACCTGTGGGCTACTGTAAACTGCCCAGGTTTGTGCAATTCCCACAGAGCGAAGCTGATAGAGATCAGGAGATCTGCCTCAGAGACCTGGCTTCTGTTCCTTTCCTTGCTGTGGCTTTTCCCTTTCGTAAAAAGGAGCGTAAAGATCCCACGACAGGGCTAGGGTATCTGGGCGTACCACAAAACAATATAACTAAGCATAAACCATTGAGAGTGGTTAATCTCAGGGCTGAATACTGAGATCAGGAGAAGCAGGACTTTCAGGGATCCCACCTCCATGTCAAACGAGGGTATACACACCAGGACTCTGAGAAATGGCAAGAAGACTGTCTCAGCAATACTGGGTGCTGCTCCCTTTTCTGACCAGTTCCCTGTGCTGTAACAGAAGTCACTGCTAAGAATCATTCCTTGTCAATGTAACATTCTGAGCCAAAACGACCAGTTAAATCCTCCAGCATCGCAGGACATTTTGCAGTGAAGTGGGTCCAGCAGCCTGGGAGAGCCCAGTGCAAAGCATGTGTGTTCCCCATAGTGCCAGTGCTCCGCTTCTTGGCTCTAGCACTGCAGTTATGTGCCCTTAAGGAAATACCACGCTGACATCCAAATATTTTCGAGAAGTTAAACATAGTTTGAAGCGTTATGGAAGAAAGGTGTACGAAGTAATTCACCCAGAAAAGCTTGATGGAACTTTGTATTTAAAAGCTTTGGGATCTGTTTGCATGCAGAAGATGTTTAAGACAGCGTTCTGATGGTTTCCCATTGATTTTCTACCAAATATCACAGTTGGCATAAGTATCTGCCAACAGGGAACTCTAAACAAGGTCTTGAGTTCCTTCCCTGCTGAGTGGGGACATACCTGCTCTGACGGATTGAATGGCCTCTCCATTCTTTTGGCTTCCCTAGAAGTACACCAGAGGAACCAAACAGCATATGGCTGATTTCTGATTTCTCCACTGTGAAAGGAATTTTTGTTCTTGCATGACACAGGGCTCAGTACTTACATTAAAAAAAAAAAAACAAACAAACCAAACTTTAAAACAGTGCAGAAAAATCTTTATATGTGGCACCAGCAACAGAGATGAACTCTTTCAAACTTTTGGCTTCTTTAAATTTATTAAGCAAATTAACACTGCAGAAAGGCAAGAACAACTCACCAAATGGACTCGGTTCACTTCTTCATTGATTTGCAGACAGGGATAACAACCAGTGTAGTTGTTGATATTCCAACGTGCAACTTGTAAAATCATTTTGGAAAAATGAACTAGTGCACTTAAAAATTCCTTTAAATCTGTGAGAGGAAAAGGTGGTCCTTGCATGATTTCTGTGAGGGATAGCAAAGTGTTAGCTGTTCTGAAGTTAAAGCTCCTCTCACCAGAAACAACTGGGAAAATTCACTGCTGGAAGACAAGAGTGCCTTATCTCCCTTCAGATCAGTAAGAAATGAGGCTGTGCAGTTCCTGGGTGACTTCGGGTGACTTCTGCTGTCTCATTTAATTGTGAGAAGAAGAAGGCATCCGGAAATGTTTGTGAGATTCAGGTAGAGAGCCAAGGGAAGGGTTCTGCATTCCTGGAGACTTGGGAACCCCTCACCAAAGGGATCTGTGGGATGCCAGGAGTTTGCGTGGGCAGCCCGCACTTTCACCAGTGGGAAATCCCCCGCAGGCACTGGAGTACAGGGCTGTCCTTCAGCTGAAAGTAATCAGAGGGTGGTAAAGAATTTGGGAAAGTAAATGATGTGGCTCTTATCAGAACCTGTGCATCTGCTTCTGATCTCTGTTAGAGAGGGCAGTGGATGATATGGACTGTTGGGTTGGTTCAGCCTCGAACCAGAGACTTCTCCAACGCAATGAGTCCTCGCCGAACATTTTGCTGTAAGAAAGGCAACAGGCTTTGTCTGCACAGACAGCTCAGTGTCTCCCCTGACTCTTAACTCACTGCATCTTTCTGTAGTGTTGAGGCCTGAACATTATGTTTAGCCTGACTGGAATTTGGCACAAAACTTTCCTTTAGACATTGTTTTTTTTTCCCTCTTCATTGGATAGTTAGATTGTCTGGGGATTTTATTCAGCAGAATGCATTCCCATAAATATATTTAAAATAGATGGAATCGCTGTTGGTATTAAGGGGTCTATTTAGGTTATTTCAATTTAGATCTGAACATGCAAATACTGAACAGAGGAGAAGATTGCATGGGGGATTCTCAAATGAGAGGGAGACTGAAATGCATTGAAAGCTTTTGAATTTGGAAGTACGTGGCATTGGTGGATGGTTGCAGTGGAGAATATAATGCAACAACAAAGTCATTAAAGTACTTCAAGTTTGGAAGTAATCTGGGTTCTTGGCTTGCATTGCATTTAATAGCTTTACATTTATGGGAGCCATTCCAGTTTTTAAAGGCAGCTTCAGCCTTCAGACTGATTGCACTTACCACCCAGTGAAACTGCAACCCATTAATTTTTTACCGAAAGGATCTTCCTAGTTTGTCAAACACATCAAGTGAACATTTTAGAGAGTGCAGACCACAGCAGTATGGAAACCAAAACTTTGTATCGAGAGAGAATGCTGGATTAGCACGAAATAATTAGTGAGCACTTCAGTAAATTCACTGTTTTGCAACCTCTGTGAAAGACCCCACGTAGCAAAGTGAGAGCAGGGATGCATGTGCTATGCCAGGACCACCCCCAGGCTCCCACTGCACCTCTCCCAGCACCACGGCGCTGCCCTGTTACTGCAAGGAGCCCTGGCCCAGCTCTCACATGGCCCCCGTCATTAGGGCCGAGCCTTGCCAGTGTCTAAAACCAAACTCTCGCTCTCTAAAACGTTTGCACATTTCTATGTTAAACATCTGCTTAGGTGGCTCTGAGATGGTGTGTTTTGGTGTTGTTCGTGTGCAATCTAGTGCCGCTTCCTCAACGCATGTGTCCCTTCCCTTCACAGCCTACTCGACACCCAGCACCTCCCCCGCAAACCGATTCGTCAGTGTTGGACCACGGGATCCAAGCTTTGTAAATATCCCTCAACAGACTCAGGTGGGCCGCTTTCAACTTCTCTGTATGCCTGCAGCCTCTTCTTCTTCAGTGTCCTCTAACGTGTCCCCGCGGAGCCAGCCGCATTGCTGCTGTCACTTCACCCACATGGTCTCAGTAACTACAGTGAAATGTCACTTGCAGTTTGTTTGTCTGTTGTGTTTTTTTGGGCTTACGTAGCAATAACGCTGCTTTTGTGACTGGAAAGATCTCTCTCGCTTTCTAAGATATTGCTGCTAGTGCACATTTTGTTCCTCTAGGACTGAGTTTTCAGGCTTTGACTCCGAGCTGTTCCCTAGACAGTGCATTTAATTGCAATTCCAAAGGAGCTGAGAGAGAGCCGTCAGGTAACCGTGCACCTCAGTCCCCTCCTGAACCCAGTGGGAGTCTTTGCCAAAGACTTCCACATTCAGAAAAAATAGCCTCAAATTCCTGGCTGGGCATTTGCACGGGGGTTTGAGCGAGCAGGCGGTTCTGTAATTGCGAGCACATCTGTTTCCTTACACAAAGAGAAAACAGTCCGGTGGAGGCAGGCCTATAAAGCTGGGTTAGCTGAATTCATAGACCTGCTACGGTCGAATCAGAAGCTCAAGTAAACATTTGTGTTTCTTTAGGAGAAGGACAAGGTTTAAATGTGCTTTTTCCAAGCTGTATCAAATTCCCAGGGTCGATTAAGAAAATAGTTGTTGGCAGTTTTGTTAGCAGCTAATTTGAGCCAGATGTTGAAAAAATTAAGGCAATGCTTAATATCACGTTATCGTGGGGGAGAAGGTATAAAAAAGTGAGTAGAAGCAGTGTTTTAGGACAACTGCAGTTTGTTGCTTGAAGTGGTTGCTTAACTGTGCTACAATTCTTCCAAAGGCGAGCATCAGGAATATTTGTGTTGAGGTGGCGGTGCTAATTAATAAGCAATCATTCTGGGGACCAGCAAACTGTGGAGTACTACTTTTGGCTCTTGTAAGTTGTTTCCAGTCATCTCTGTCCATCTGTCTCATCAGCGTGCAGATTCATGGCTGTCACAACCCGCAGCCCTCCTTGTTGTGATGGCAGCACCTACGCTCCCAATGCAGCACGGGGCACTCAGTACCCAGGGTGTTCAGTTTGCAGGGCTGCAGCCACGCAGCCACCAACACAACGTGTTTTCTTGCTATCTGTTCTTTGTGTACAATTTGTTAGGGGCTTTAGTTTATAGCTCTGTCGACAGCGCAGGTTAAACTACATTGGATCTCCAACCTTCTCTGCATTAAATAGGGTCAAAGAAAGTACACCGGCAGTGCAGAGCGGGGCTTTAACCCATCAGGTTCTGATTTTTGTTCACGCGTTAACAAAACACAGCCTGCAGCCCAGTTTCAGGCCTCTTCCTTTGTTCGGTTCATTTACGTGATGAGTTTTCGTGTGCCTTCACGTTTAAATCGTATTTCTCCAGTCCTGGGGACAACTGGAATACACAGAAATACACTGCAGGCAGGAAGCAGGAATGGTTAGGTACGCTGCTAAAGTCCTTAAGCATTTGGTCTTTCCCTCCATAGCTCAGGAAACTTGAAACCCTTTGGAGAATGGTACGTTACCTTTTCCAGAGGACTTGAAAAACAACTAGTTGGTAAATTGATCGTGGAGTAGGACACAACAGCATGAAGTCTCCGAAAATATTTTAAACTTCCTTGCATCCTGCAGCAGCGGCTTCCCAGAGAAGTTTGTTGACTGTAAACTCTTCTCCTCCTTATTTATGACTTGAATCATTTTAAGTGCTCTAGCCTTACTTTAGCTGCCTCTCCATAATGCAGCATAGTGAATAACAGTGCTGCAATATGAAAAACAATACTGGAGCATGGCTTTCAATTAAAGTCAAACATGCTGCAGTGGGGAAGAGACTGACTCCCAGGCTCCGGCTCCCGCCGCATCTCTGTGCTTCTATACATCGCTGCACCACCGCAACCCACTTGGTACTAAATATATAATTTATCAGGGAGTAAAACTCACTACTTATTCATGAAATAACTCTGAAGTTGACCGCATTTTAAATCAGAAGAGTGAGGTAAAAATACTGGCTGCAACGATTGGGGATTTACCTAGAGTTCCTCTAAACAAAGACGTCCTTTTGTAATAGTTTTTGCAGGACGTTAGTGTATAAATGAGGAGGATCACTTAGGATACTTTCAAAATGAAAATATAAAAACAAATAGGGCTGTGTTATTAAAAGCAGCTGGGGTGGCTGCTTTCCATCAGGGTTTTTATAGTACATTCAGACTGGGGTTAAAATACGGGTCCTGAGGACCGCTAACCGTCAGGCCACACAGCTCCCTTCAACAAGGGGAAGCAGCAAACACTCACAGCTTCTAGAAGTCAGGCTTCAACGTAAGGGTTAAACAACTTTTTATTGCTGTTACAACAAAGACCATATCTGAATTCTCTTTTCTTTTTTGTTGGGGGGGGGGCCGGCCGCTGAGGATTACAGTCCAGCTACAAGGTAGAAGGAGACATTATGATCAGCATTTTGGTTGCTTTGATTTTCTCTTCCCACTGGCGGGTCATTCGACTATAGGCAATGGTTATACATCACAGTTATTAGACTTAAAGTGCTGCAAAAGTGGGTCTGTGCACAGGGATGTGACAGTGCCGTTCTGCAGAAGTCGCATTTCCCATACATGGGCATTCAAGGGCTTTCACAGAACATTGGAATAAAATCGCAGACAAATGTACAACGCTGTGGCTGGATTTGAGCAAGGATCATTCTGTCCTGTGCTGTTTTTAAACAACCAAAAACAGTACATGCCTTTCTTAATGGGCATTATAAAAATTAGCAGTAGACATTTCCATTAGCAGCGTGTTCTAATTTATGTCAGATTGCGTCAAATATGATCCCTTAAAGGAATGTTTTACAATTTATATAATATTTTACTCAGAGAAAGGCTGTATTCCTGTATCAACAAAGGTTGTAGTCAGACTACAGCTCTGTGCAGAAGAGAGCAGGAATGAAACTGATTTAAGTCAGTCGTGATTCAGTCACCACAGCCCCAGAAGGGCTGCTGGGCAGGCCTGGTTTCAGCCACTTACACACTTCTCCGTCAGTTTGCTTTTGCAGATGCTGCCTCTGCTTCCTCCATCCATCTCTCTGTCACTATGGTGGCTCCCCACGTAATTGTCCTATCGGGGGGGTTATTTGAATCTGAATTTCTGTTTGAGCTATTAGAAGAAACACTTGACTTGGCATCCTCTGTGTCTGTTGACAAAAAGGCACAGGTGTTGTAACCTTTGCTTGATAAATCATTTACTTTTGCTACTTGACTTGCAAGCAATATGGGGGCATCAGCTTTTTAACTACCTTTTCCATATGCAAATCAGAAATACAGTATGCCTGGGGTACACAGTCTTTAGTTTCAAAAGCAAGCTGGTCTGGGTGCCTCATGACTAAGTAATAGATACGCCTCTCATGTTGCCAAGGGCATGTAATAAGGAGAGTGGTAGGGGAATGGGAAAGTACCATCACGTTAATTAGGGACTGGCCTATCAATAGCAACAGAATAAAGGGCTCTGAGTAGGTTTGCTGGTATTTTTTTTTCCCCTAGCCTAGTGATAAAAGTACTTGTGAAACCCAGGGTATGCGCTCAGAGCTTGCACAGCTGGAAGCACCAAGCTAGCAGTGACCAGAGCTCGTGGTGTCTCACCCTGCTCTCAGCACTGCGGGTCCATCTCTAACGCTCTCACTTCGCTCTGTAGTACAAAATTCCTTTAGGGATCATAAGTACCCCGTGCACTGCAGCTCCACTTCCTCTAAACACTGTTTACTAGGCTGAGCCCTGCTCGCCACCTCCTTACCCAACGTCTTCCTGGGAATTGCACTCATTGCACTTGGGATGCTAACACCACCTCCTGAGCAGCACCCGCCTACCCCATCTATTGCTCCTACCTGCCAGGAGTCTGCTTGCCTACAGGGTGAGGCTATGGGGATGCATGGAGCACTGACCACCTCTCACTGCAGCCACTGAAGCAGAGGATCAGCTGTTTTACCACCTGTGAGAAAGTGAATGGTTTTCTTCTCTGCTTAAGAGAGAAAATGCACCATATACCCTCCTGACCCGCTGCTTCAGGAAAAACCCTTTCAAATGTAAACATACTTTATATCAGATTCATCCCAGTTGGCTTCTGAAATGTAGCTAAGCACAAAAAGCAAATATTTATTCCTGTCCCTTTCTCTAGGAAAGGATACAAGTTTTCAGAAAGAACAGAAATAGCAGTTCTCCCTAGTTCTGCTTTTGCAGGACCCAAAAGTTACAGACAACTCAGCCAATGAACGATCTGTTCATCCTTCCACCACGGGGCCCAGAACCACCTCACTACAGCAGTGCTATGGACAGAACTATTCCTTTCTAGTAGATCCATAACTTTACTTAGCACCATGATAAAGTATAAGAAATAAAAGGAGAAAAAAAAGCTCAGCTCTTCAGGATAACAACCAGTATGAAGAGCAGCAAGCTCAGAAGCACAGCCTTGCTTTGGCCTTAAAAAGGTACAAAAAGCCCATCTGTGAAGAGTAATGCCCTATATGAAGTTAGGGGTAAATCACTGCAGGGCAGCAAAAGGGATACTGCGTTGACAGTCAAAGGAAATGGCTAACTCCTCTAGAGCTGCTCCTGCTCTCCATGTTTCCTTAATTAGACAGTGGTCTTCTTCTGAGCTTTTATTTTTCTCTAGAAAAAGGCTTTATGCTTCAGGTGCATATCAAACTCTAATTGCACAGTTACTTTCTTTTGCAGAGACAAGGGAAAGACTGTTCTCCCTCTCCACAATCCCTTCAGAAAACAAACTGCAACCTGCAGTGTTCCACTGGCAGCACTTTAAAACAAAGGGCACTTGGAAAAGAAAAAGAAAGAAAAAAAAAAAGAGCTTTCTGCTGTGTCCTGTAGGTTAGCAGATGTGAGCTCTGTCAGGCGAGGGAGGGAGGGAGGGAGGCAAATTCCAGAGTAGATGGTCCTTCTGTGATAACAGCCAGCCTGGCTGCCCAG